TAGATATACTTGAAAGAAAAATCTGCTTCAAAAACTTTTACCTGGAACACCTATGCCGACGGTATGACGAAAGCTCCCCCAACTTCAAGGAGGTGAGCTAAAAATGTTACGTTAACGATATACGTTGGCGACAAAAAAAGTGTCGAAATGAAGATAGGATACGATAATGTTTTCTACTGTTAATATAATAGAGAATCTTCTTTGATTAAAAAAAAATATGCTACTTTTGGCCTAGTATTTTAACACAGAGTCAGATCAAGAAACCAGGAGCTTCTAATTTTAGATATGCAAATTTTATGCAATTTTCATTTTTTGGATATGAAGTGCACACGCGACACTCATCATATTTCAAGAAAGTAGTGTACAGAGTATATCTAATTACTGAAAAAAATTAGGTGAGTGTCCCTCATGCACTTCATATTCTAAACATCGATTTTTAAATGCCTCCCTCTTATATTTTCCCATAAGCCTAATGTTAACGGATCTGAGGGTACATCTAAGTATGTATCAGCTACGGTGTGAATTCATCTCATATTAACTTTTGAAATGTAAATAACAAAAGTTAATATATTTATCTTGAATTCTAAACTAGTTTTGAAAAAATAAATTGAAATTTATTTTTATGAAAAAAAGTGGGCCGCTGAGCGACCTTATCGAAACTCCCCCTTTGGTAGAAAGCTCAGTGCTTATTACAATCATGCCAACAGTTTGACTGCTTGATGTCCAGGAGTAAAGAAGATTTTTAAAAATTGCAATAATTTTCATGACTGTAGCCCCACCCCTCAAGCTTCACTGGGGCGGGTGTCATGAAATTGTTCCCCTTCACCCATAGATATTTGCCAAAATCGGTTGAAATTGGTTCAGCAGTACCAATGAAGAAGCTGAAAATATGCTCCAATGTTAACGCACGATACACGACGAATAACGACGTTAGCAGCTAGCAGTAAGTATGCAAAATGGCACAAAGTGTACGACGAACACCGGTTTATTATGTTCCCCAAACGAAGTTTGGGAACATATTGTTTTTACTTTTTTTTTCTAAATTTCTTCTCCGGTACTTTTTTGTCCGCGAGTATTCTCGGAAACTACTCATCCGATTGAGAGTTTTTACTTTTTTTAGGGTGAACAGACATGTTGTGTAGATGTGCGGAACGAAGGTCATTTTGCGCGCACATGCATCCACGTGCAATGGGTGAAATGACTGATATACTTGACATAGCGCAACTTTTTTATTTTTTTCTGTAAAATACTTTGAAACTCATATCAAAAAGATATATTAGTAGTGTAGACAAGATGGCAAGGTCAAATTAGCATGAACTCACGCGCATGCACGTACGCTTTGCTCTGATTTGCTAAAACAAATATTTCAATAACTTCCTTGTTTTTTGTCAAAATACTTTGATATATTTAAAATTTAGGTGTATATTATGAGGATCTACAACACGATATATACGAACATTCTTGAAAGCACGTGCACTGCAATTTGCTTGGCTGATACTTTAAAGGGCTTTAACTTCTTTATTTTTCAACAAAACAGGATGAAATATAGAATATTGATAGCTATAATGTGTTCTTACATAACTTAAACACAAGGACATGCGTGCACGTGTGCTGAATTCTGATTGGCTAATACCCTATTTGCTCTATTACTATTCAATGAATAACTTTGGTACTTAAGACATAGGTATATATTGTGAAACACTAATATTATGTGAGAAATCTAGAAAATCTACTTGCATGTGAGCTGAAATGTGATTGGCTAAGATTTGTAAATGGCTGTAACTTTCTTAGTTTTCAAGAAACAAGACGAAATTCAGAGTAGATGTTAATATGTCTCTACATTATGATTTTATCAGAAATGAATACGAGGACACACTTGCTCGTGTGCTGAATTCTAATTGGTCAATATTCCGATTGCTGGAATTTTCTATGTTTTCAGTAAATTCTTCGAAAACTAAAATGTAGCTTCTATGTTTTCAGTAAATTCTTCGAAAACTAAAATGTAGCTCTACATTATGAGATAATATGAGATGATGTATTTGGTAATATTTGAAAACACGTGCTTGCACGTCCACTGAAATTTGATTGGCTTACACTCCTTTATTGTGCATTGTTATTAAAATACTTTGGAAAATAAGTTGCAAGTCTGTGATACTGCTTTATTCAATGAAACTTACAGAAAATGGGGCACCAAAAGGAAGTAGGGGAACATCTGTAACGGTCTCCGTTACAATTAGAACTAGTTGATTATATAACCTTATCATAAGCTTATTTTTTGGAAAACTAAGTTGAACAGAAATATTAATCTGGTCGTAAATAGTACCAATCTAATCTTGCATAAAATATTTAGATTCCATAAAACATCGAGCATAAAATATAATTTTACGGTACAAAATGATCTCGTGAAAATTACTTTATAATGAATCTTGCATAAAATATTTAGATTCCATAAAACATCGAGCATAAAACATAATTTTACGGTACAAAATGATCTTGTGAAAATTTGTTTATAATGGTCATAAAACATTGTCTCCTTCGATTACATGTAACAATCAGCCATATCACGAAATCTGACAATTCCAATCCTCATGCAGGCGTGTAATTTAAAATAAGTTCAATTACTACGATCACATCATAAATCAGTTGCACATAATTAAACCCCTGTCACGATGGCACAATAGTAACAAAGTCGACATAATTCAGTAGTGCAAAGAAAGAAAAGTAAGAATGGATGTACAATATGACGGGAACATTTTCGTTTTGTTTTGTATGTCAACTCTGTAATGAAAAAATATGGATGGAGGACTTTATTCAACACTTATCGCTAACAGGACTTCGGCGCTGGATACAAATTACATGTAGTACAATTCTCTTTTCTGCTTGAACTTTCAGTAAGGCATGACATTCTTGGCGATACTTAATTAGCGTCTCTCAAAGAGTGACCTAGATTCTCATTGGTTGCCCTATGAGCTCACTAATATTCAAAGCATTGCATAAGTGAAATGAAAACGAACACTGCATTGAATAATATTGTTATATTTCATACATGTAGAGAACTGAAACAAAAACGCGAAATTGAGTGCTAAACCTTTCCGTTTTTAGAGACTCACTATATTGTACTTTACCGTAGTGTATTTTAGGAATAGAAACTTTAAAGTGTGTGTTTTTTAATAACATTCTTAATGTTAATGTTTTTTTTCACGCCTTATTGAAAGTTCAAGCAGAAAAGAAATTGTAATAAATATGAATCAATTGTACGAAACCTAACAGACATCCTACATTCATTAAAAACTTTCCAGGAAAGGATATGAATTTTGGCTAAAAATTTTCGAATTTTCGATTTTATTTGTTTGATAAAGAAAAAAAGGACGAAGGAATCGCATTTAATAAGGAAATGTCAAACTGATTTTAGTTTATCAGCAAACACATGCAGGTGTTTTGTTTAGGTTTTTTATGCTTTAGGCTTCGAACTTTAAAGAGGACATACTAAACAAACCTTCTACTGCACATCATTGGCCGTGCAAACTGCACTATGGCAAGCATTATGCAGATCTGGGGCCCGATTTACAAAAGAACTTACGACCAAGACCAAATTTTAATTCTACTGATAACTTTCTGATTTGCATGAAATTGAAAATGGTTTAAATCTTTTTAAAAGGAATCATTAATTTTTCTTTTAAAAAAGTCTACAATCAACCTAAGTTTTTGGTCTAGTCGTAAGTTCCTTTGTAAAACAGGTCCCTGGGGTGAGAAAATAGATTATTTAAAACCCTAAACGAGCAAGTTTAATGGGGAAAAACAGATTCAGAATGTGATGAAAAAAAACAACATATTTTAAAAGCGATTTGGACCGAAGATGCATGTACATTTCACTTAAATGTAAACAAGGTACATATATATTTATTATCCCCTCGCGCAACTAGTTGCGGAGGGGATATAGCATCGGTACTGTGCGTATGTGTGTGTGTTAGTGTGTCCGTTACAGCTTGTGGGCAAGATTTAAAGAGAACCTTTGGACTATCAATTCTCAGCTTCCACATACTTATGTGGCATTGTAAAAGGACGAACCCTATTCATTTTCAAATTAATCGGTAAAATATTTCTTAAAATATCGAGATTTTACTACCTTCAAACCCTGAAATTTTATGTACGACTTGACAATACTCGCTTCCGCTTAATCAACCTGGAAAATTCGGTTCGCTTCGACAGACTCGCTTAAGAGTTCAGTAAGTTCTACTTTGTATTTACGTATTGTCATATTATTGTGCGTATCTTGAGACAGTCTGTATAAACTAAAAGTGTCATCTCTGACGCTGAGTAATTGAAATGATTTGATGAATGTCGCGGTTTCAATACCAAATTTCCACAGGTGTCTGTTTACAACATGGAATTTATTCTTGAGGCGCATGCAATTCCCGAAAGCTATAAAGACATTTCACAAGTTTCAGTGACCTCTCAACACCGGTATATTTTCATTTTTTATTACGAAGAAATATTGCTTCCGCGGGTATTCTCAGATTTTATGTATATTGCATACAACTTTGAGATTTACATAGGTAGGTAAATTACTGAAACTTAGAGCATACGTGATATGTTTCTGCTAGGAATAAGGGAAACTCTGCCCACTTACGTATGCATGTTATTCCACCCTCCCCCACGATTTTATGCACTTTGATTTAAAAATGCCCCCCCCCCAAGTTGATTTTATTAAAATTGTGCTGCAATATATTTTTTCTTTACCTTTAAATATTTTAAACCTAACTAGTTGATTGTATCTTCATTAACGTCCCTCTTGAGAATTTTGCCATTACCGGTGAAGTGCCTGGCGCGAGGGGATGCTCCGCTTAGCGGTGCTCTTGTTCATTAATATTCTTTAAAAAACAAAACAAAAATCTTTAATCTACGTTAAAGTTGATAAGCAAACAAAAAAATGTTAATTATCACAAATAACTTTAAGTTCTAATTTACACACATGTCAAGTAAAGGTGTATTGAGGAAATAACAGTTCAGAAATTAATATCTAAATCTCTAGCAGCGCTTGGTTGTGACAGCTTTTCTGTGTTTTTAAAGTGCGTATTTTTTATTTTTTCAGATCGATCAACAAATTTATGACTTATGTCATTGACCTTATATATCTTTGAATTTGATATATGAAGTTTCAGGAATACAGCCATAGAGACAATAATTATTCCAGCTATTGCGCCGCCCACTGCTCCACCAATGATGGTCAAATCTCGAGAACTCGGCAAAGAACTCTGTAAAGTATTAATCATACATTAAATATAGCTTTTTACATACACCATTGCAACCATATTTTACATCTTTTAGTCAGTAATCGTAAAGCAGCAGAAACCTTGACAACATATAATCTAATTTAATTGATTACTCAAAGAAAAACACCTGTAATCCTGATTGTCGAATAATATCTCATTCTATTATTTCATGCATGCATCACTGTCTACAATTTTTGACTTCTTAATCGATACATGTATATAAAATATCCACTCCTATGAGATTTATTGAACACGAGACATTTTTGGATGAAAATTAAACCAATATGTAAATTTATATGTTGGTTTAGTGTCATAACTCAGTATTTCTTAAATTTGTAAATTACAAAAATTGGAACAACTCGGTGCATGTAAGTAATGGTACGAATTTTGTGTTGATCTTTACTGTGCTTATAATAAATCTGTGGAAAAAATTTTTCTGAAAAGAACAATGCGAATCTTTTGAACTTTTTAATGATTTGCAATTCCGTGAATAATGTAGAAACAATACTGTCGCCTCAAGGTTTGAAACCATATCTATATTTTAAATTATATATATCGAATATTATTACTATATTTTAATATAGGTAGATAAATATTTATGGTTATGTCTTTATTCAGTTTGTGCACATATTATTTTCAAAAGTAATCAATTCTAATCAGATTCTTTAGTATTACGTTCTTACTGTAATAATTACTTAGTAATTCACTCAATTACATTTAAAAATCCGCATGCAATCATTAATTCAATCGATTAAATATATAAAGCAATGTACTTTTAATTTACATTGTAATAGATTACTTTTCACTAAAATCAGACCCATGTCTGTGTAACAAGACAAAAAATAAATAAATAAAAGCTCTCAAGTATTCTATCTTATTAATTGATGCAAGGGCAATATCAGCATCGCATTTATTGCACCATTGTTGATATCACATACAAACCTCCTGCATCATGGGATTTATGGAATCCATTACAATGTTGTCAGATGGGGCCTCTGAATACAAGATAAATCTACATTGAGAGACGAAGCCTTCAGCATCAATAGCACTGAGGACAACCGACGAGGAACAACAGTCACCTCTGAAATACGTTTTTAAAATCAATATTACTGATCATGAAAGAAGGGATTCATGTTATATCAGGCTCTAATATACACATACTAGGGCTGTTAGGAAATTATTGCGACATTCACATTGAATTTTAAGGCCTCGTCCAGTTCTAGAATTGAGTATAAGGAGTTGATTCTTGCATCGCAGGTGCGAATCTCATTGCGGGTGAAACCCGGTCTTTCGAGTGAAACTATAATTGAAGTCCCGCGTGTAGCAATAAATGCTGGTACAAAATATATCCATCGTTGCACAAATAGTCACAAGTGCTGAGTACATGCTAAATTTTGCGAACAAACATGAGGGACATACGAAGGCAATTAACCAACCGTAGAAGGAGATGAATTGGTAGAAAATCACCAAAATATTACCAAGGAAAAATTAAACAAATATGCAAAACTCATAGTCGATGAATTCATTAGGTACGTCCTGGTCCTGTTGAGATAAACTTGCATAATTCAGTTGTTCGTTTATAAAACATCTCAAGATAAGCGTCAATTTCTTTTCTTTTCTTTCAATCATTTGTTCTTTTTTTTCACAGCACCCACCCTCCAAACGGATGCATTTTTGTCATCTCTAGTTAACATTCGGCGATACCTACCCTCTCCATACAAAATTTTCCGTTAATAATTTATTGTAAACGTGCAAATAACGTTATGCCGTTGGACCCCTGACAAATTTCAGTCGACATCTTTGGGCTTTCTTCTCTCATTGAGAGGCACCAATCAAATTGAAGTATAAAGATATAATTATAAACACAAAGGAATCATGCATTCGTGTTACGCATTGTTTATTGGTAGAGAGATAAGGAAAACAATCAAGATTTGTAATTTTCCCAAAAGGCGTCGCTCCAGTCAGCCCGATATCAAATAAAATTTGTCAGGAGTCCAACGGCAACAAGTTTACTCATAACCCCCTGACGTTGTAAGGATGACTTCATAGTTAATGTCTATGAAAAGATTCCTCCTATTTCTACATACTACATGCATTGACTGGAAATAAAATAATGTATGAGAAACGAATTAGTATATAGCCTAAAGGCATTGGCCAGAACGGAAATCGATAATTTTTTGTAAAGACTAAAACCAATTCCGGTCCTATAGATCAACGCTACATTTATAACGAGGTAATCTCCTATACCACCTTGAAGTCGAAATTCATTTTGCTGTCTTAAACAAATTTCTATACATGTAGCTTGATGCAAAAAAATTTATGAATTCGATATTTCAAATCAAAATTCTATGGCACTTGCAAAAAATGGCAACAATAAAATCGGAAATGCAACTTACTCTGTATTCAACACTTTTTACAGTGCTTGTTAACTTGTAGTAACGAATTTTTAATATCTAGATAAATACACTGTATACTCATATCATCGAAAAATTAATATACATTACCATTTAATAATGATTCTTAAATACAATTACTTCTTGCTTTTATTTATTGTTACTCCTTGTTAAACGTATACAGAGAGAGTAGTTTAAAGGGGAGGAAAAGCAGAATGTCTCAGTAATTCCTAAACAGCCCTCATAGGCCATAGTTAGTTGTTATTAAGGTAAACACTATATTAAGTGTGTAAGAAACATTTTACTCGTATACGAGTAAAAGTATTTTTATTAAAAAAAATGTAAGAAATATTTAACAAATGTACCTTAGTGAAGCGTCCACCAGGCCAGATGAAACTAGTAAGGAACTATGTGTCAAATTAACAGAAGAACTGGACACATACAGAGACCTTAGAAGCGTTCCAGAAAAATTAAATTCAGCTCCCCCTTGCCACACAACATCGCCACAACTACTGCTATTAATAATTTGACTTCGACACGTATCCTCATCTAAAGTCACTTTACACGATGGACGTATGGCAGATGATACCTTAAAATGTTTCGATCAGAACTGTGAGTTCTACTCTACATTTCTCCATTTTGTTCAGAATAATAACATTTCAAATATAAACTATTTGGTAAGTAGAATTGCTTGGATTTGTTTTGTAAATTAATGCTGTAATTAACCTATGTACATACCGTCAGTTTCTTGGTAACAGTCTGGAGTTCTACTAATGTTTCCTTTTCCTCCACAGATATTTTCACAGTACTGTTCAAATGAGAACATTTTTTCAACTCATTTCTATTCTTTTAGCTCTTTTTCCTCTTTGATATCGTGTTACACTGTAACATGTTTTGATCAATAAAAAAGTACCCTTACTTATGTAGCAATATACCCTTATCACCTGCATATGGGTTTTTTGTCTCCCAGTCGATTCGATTCGCAAGAGCATGCTCTACGTATGAACAATTTCTAAAATGAGACAAGCTATTGACAAAGAAGTTGATAAAACAAGGATATCAACAGTCTCGTTTGAAGCCATCATTTTGTTTTTTGGTCGATACAATGACCTTGTTAGCACAAACAACCAATCATTAAGTCAAGTGCTGACTGACGTTTTTCTTACTAATTGTTAGGCCATTATTTATACACTGAATTGTCTACGGATTTTTCCCGACTATGACAAGGAGCACATGGTGGCTGTGACCGGTCGGCAGGGGATTCTCACTCTCCATGGCACCTGATCCCACCTCTGATGTTTTCGGAGGTCCGTGTTTGCTCTGCTCCCGATTTGTATTGTCTAATTGGACTTTGAGCTTGAATACTGTTCGTTATCTCCATATTTCATTCAAAAATATCTATTGAGAAAAAAAGCTACATTACACAATAGTCAAAGGGGTTGTTCCTCTGATACTGAAGGATTCCTCTGTTGTTTCTCCTGGTTGAATGACTAACGTTAGGGATCTATTCCCAACAATATAACTCCTGTCATCAGACACTGTCACAACAACAATTTTGTTGGCTGTTCCATGGTTGGTAATTGTGTATTGAATTTGTTCCAATTTTGAAAGCGACAGATCTCCTATAATTTTTGTATAATAGTATCAGTTACCTGTATACTGATACAAGTGAGTTATGAAAATAAAAAGTTTTACTATTTGTATCAAAATTTGCAAAATCAAACGTGGACAAGTATTCCTTTTAAAGGAAGTGATCGGGGAGTGTAATATTCAGACTTACGTAATGTCAAAGAACAATTACCTAATAAACGAATAAAATAATGTACGAGTTAGACTTTGTCGAAACAGCAATGAATAAACTTTACTCTAATGGGAAATTGTCTATTGATAACAAGTAGAGCTATTTCAAAACGCTCTGCCGTCTTTAGCAACAACTTAACGAGGTTGGATCCTGATATTTAAAGTCTTAAACTTTTTTTGTCAAGTATATTTTTAGTTTCTACATACATAGCTTAGTTAAAAATCAAAACCGTAAACTCTAACTCTGCTGGTTGGAGTTTACGGAGACAGCCGAGCGTCTATTTGAACGAAAGTAGAAAGACTGTAAAACATAGAAAAAAATAATACAAACTGTAATGCTTGCATGCAATAAAAATATTTCTGATTACCATGAAAATATAGAAAAGCTTTATAATAATTGCTACAAAAATAAAAGTGTTATTTAGATTCATTTATTGCCATTTTCCTCTGTCGTTTTGTCAATTTTTTTAAGATTGAAAATCTCGAAAAATTGTTAAGACGTACGAAAATTTAATCACCAGAAAATTATCTCCCTTGCCTTGAACAGCATTTCAACAACCAATGAAATAATTGAAAATTTTTACATCATGCAATTTCTACCAATCACGAAAGAGAGGAAGTGCATAGTCCGAAGAGTGTAATATACTTCAACTCTGTATAGTTGTATACAGTCTTCCAAGACGATAATGAATTTTTTGCGCGTATATTAAAAATGTTTGTATCTCAAAGTAATTTCATTAAAAAAAGCTCCTTAGTACTTAATATGATAGATTTACATGAAGCTGTCAGTGCACAGTGAACAAAGTTGTCCGTCGCGTTATGTGTTATGTGTGCCGATCACAAAAAAATATTGAATTTTTACAGCAAAAATTTCCAAATGGAAGATAAAAAGTTCTTACCAACAAAAGGGCGCATTCTGAGGGATACATCTACAGGGGTGATGGCATGTCTAACGGAGCGTAAAAAAGGACGACCAGTAAAATCTGCACCATGAAACTGAATTCCTGATATCTAAATTTAAAGGATTTATGTAAAAACATCTTACATAGGACTATATATTTTTCTTAAATTATTTAAAATTGATAGAAGTACAATATAACCTGCTTGGTAATCGTTGTTTTAGCATAATACTGGAGGCTTGGAGAAGCGCTGAGAAGACTGGCATTCATTTTACTGATAGTCTGCCCTGTTTCGTCCACTAGCGTAAGGAATGACACGGTATAGTTTGTAGGGAGGTTTTGCAATGATGTAACAACTAAATATTCTTTGCCTGCAAAATATGTTTTGGCTTTAAATTAAATTTCAACGCTCTATTGTCATAGTTCATTTTGGAAACAAGTGAAATTGATGCAAAGCATCTAATCGGCCACAAACATGTTTATTTCCATATGGAAGAGTCTTAATAATTAATTTGAAAGTACAGTAAGTATACATTTTGCTTGCAAAAATATACACTTACTTTACTTTTCTGTGCATTTTTAAACACTTTAGTTTTCGGTGAATTGTAAAAGTTCTATTTAATTAAAAATAAATTAATTCATGGATATTGAAATCGGTGATAAAGAATAGGATTATTTCGTGATCAATTATTTATCACAAGATGAATGTCTCAATGATTTCTGACTAAAAAGACATGCAAACTTTTCACTGTGACGTGTTGATTCGATCCCTGGAATTTTGTCACGTGATAATGCCAATATTTTATTGAAAAAGGCATGTATCACAATAAATGCGAAGTGCAGAAAAAACATTGTTTCATTTGCAACTGTAGTACATTTGCTTATACATGTATATTTTTTTTCCAATATTTATTAATCATTTTGTCACTGTAATTGATATCCAGAAAGATTACGTTCTGTGTTTATATCTTACACACTCCAATGTTGGGGAACAGTTCATGTAATAAATTCCTATAAAAATTATAAATTAATAAATATCTGATGAGAAATGAAAAACAAATTGAAAAAATAAGTACAACTATTTATTATTATTATTATTATTAAGCAAATTTTAAAAACTTTTATTCATGATTTTTATGAAAGTTATTAACTAGAAATTATTCCATCGAACAATGAAAAAATAACGACTCATTTCCCGATGTGCACATTCTAACACAACCACAAATAGATCGTGATAATAATTACATTTAACACTCAATACACATATTTATACCCGATAGCGGGTTTCCCTTCACTGGGTAAGGGATGCCTTCCGTTGACATCTCAAGTAAAGTTGATGTAATATCAAATGAACTATTAGCTGTGATAGTCACATTCCACTGATTATTATTATTAACTTTCTTTAAAGTCCATTCTCCTTTTTCCGGGGTCTAAAAAAATAAAACATTTTAGCGAGAGATCGATGTGAATAAGTGATACTGAATGTAATGCATGCATGCTTTGTTTTTAACGAGGCCGAGTCTATTTCTACCCTAGAGATTTTAATAATTTTTCTTAAATTAATTTTTACTATCATATTTATTGTTTTAGGATTAAAAAAAATCGAATGTTTTCTTTGGGGCCATCTCAAAAGTTGTCAAATTTTACTATTGGACCCTATGGGAATTTGTTGGAAAAGTGCCAAATTATCACATTTTTTCTATATTTTTTGTATTTCTGCCCTAGAGATTTCTTTTTCAGCCAAGTACATGAAAGTTATTGTAAAATGTCACCAAATTGTGAAAGAAGAAGGTACGTTATGTACCAAAATCCGCCCTGTCCCAAAATCTGATGATTTTTTTGAGACATGTCTAAGATGTCTTCTTTTTAATTCAGCTTAATTTTTTTAATTATCTCAAGTCAATTTTCCTACAAAGCTATCTGAATATAGATAGTTTCTTTAGGAAAATAACACTATGACGTTAACCTAACGACACTATGAGGGTTTTTGGAAAGTTCTTTATATTACTTTCAAGAAATATTAAAAAAGAACACATTTTCTTATATAAAAATATTTATTTTGTTGATGTATGAAGTTACATTCCATTCGATTTAACAGAAATCAATTTACCTAATTTTAAATCAACATATTTGGTAACCCCGAGCTACATTATTACGTCAAAAACAGTGCGTCATGGTGTTTTTGTTTTTTTTTTAATCTCCCTTTATATTTCACACAGTTGGGTCCAATAGCCATTTACTAAAAACCTTTCTCTATCAATTTTAATTTATTTTGCTAACAATAGTTCCAGTAGCATAATTTTGTTTTTCCATGTTTATTTTTGTTTTATTTTACCGCGTAACTGTGCATTTACAAGATCAGCAACTGTAAAGCGCCTTTCTCTTTCCATGACTTTACCAACTCAAAGTTTCTGTTCAGATTTTTTACAGATAATCCATTTTCTCAAAGACCGCCCTTGTCTGATACAGAGTTTTAATCATTCGAACACAGCCTCTATCATTTATAAACATATGCACAAATAGCTTTTGACATTTGCTCCCTACAATATTTTCAGAGTTTATTCTGAAGATTTCCAGAGTACAACACAAAATTTTGTTTTACCTTTAAAAATTGGTTTCCATATAAATCTATACACACATTTCCACAACACATGTTGTACTGAGCGGTCATAAAAAATCTATGTTTGGCCGCAGGTAAGAAATTTGACCTGTCGATGAGAAATTGGACCGAAATTGGACCGCTTACGTCAAAATTGTGGGCGGGATCAGCTAAATCTCATTTGCATTCGTTGGTGTTCGACAGTGACGAAATTGACCACGTTTAAGAGGGCTGGGAGGTTGTGGCCATTTTCAGACTGTATTGATCTCCTTTAGAAGAAGAGCTCCATATAAAGATATACAAAAATGATCAAATTTTAAAACTAAAATGTATGAAATTTTTGTTTGCCAAATGATGGTTGACAGCTTAAGATATCATATCTAAAAAATTAATTAAGTTATATCTGATGGTTAATTTTTTGACCCCCCAGCCTCCTTAACTGCAGTGTGATTTAAGTAAATTTAAATCATGGAAGCCAGCACAAGATACAAAGGTAAAACAAAACATTCCATCGATCGGTTAATTAATGGCCTCAGACAAATAGTTTGGCTTTGGGGTCTGACAATATACGTACAAATGAAAGATTAATTTATATGATTTTAAAACGAGAGAGAGGCGGGGGAGGGGGGGGGGGGGGAGAGATGCCTAACGCATATTTAATAGTGCGTTTATTTTAAGTATCCCATTATTCTAATTCAAGCAAGATTTTTATTTTTAAAAGCTAGATAATATTTCTTATGCGAATTACTTGGTTGTTTTTAAGATTGCATTAAAACTTATAACACTATTTCATAGAATGTCAGATTCCCTATAAAATTTTATAAGAAAGTATTAAAGATCAGATATTTTAATTAATAGATAACATTGAAAGGGCAAATTCCCCAGCTCATCCTTTCTAACGAGTCGCGACGTCATTCACGAATTTATCAAAAAAAATGTGTTTAAGAAAGTATTCTCAGTCCTGTCATCTGAAAAAACCTCACCCCCCCCCTTAAAAAAAATGAAAAAAGTACTGTCATTAGATTAATAATTTTATGTCACTGGATAGCCCTTCTCAAATGCACGGATCAAGTAACCCCCCCCCCCCCCTTTTACAAGCTGGTAGAGATGCAGCACTTCTTTTGGATAGTTGGCATAGGCAACTTTCTATCGCATTTTCTTCAACCAATTGAGGCTTTTTTCACCAACTAAGTATAGCCTTTCAAAATAAATAAATGAATAAATAAAATAAAATAAAAATAAACATGTACATGTATAGACATTTACTTTCTTTGAAGAACACTTTTACGATCTTTTTTAAAATAAGTACTTATAATTATAAATAAATACAGTAGCTTGAAGTTTCGACTCTGTTGCTTGAAGTTTCGCTCAATATGACAGCCTATCTTTAAGTAAGTATTGTAAGCCTTCGATACCAAAGATCATAGGCCTTTTTGCCTGCTTTTCAATCCATTTAAGGTAGAGCGCTCGTTCCGTGATCGGAAGGTCGTGTGTTCGAATCACGGCCGCGACCGACCTAAGTCGATAAAAAAATAGGTAGCAACTGTTCTTTCGTCAAGCGCTCGGTACCTTTAAGTGAAAGTTGCGGGTCTTTCGGATGAGACCTTAAAAACCAAGGCCCCGTGTCACGGTAGGTTCAAACCTTTTTTTCACACGTTTTTTTCAAAACCGATCCCCCCCAATATATTAAATTCCTAAACTCTACCTATGCTACAGCAGATAGAGGTGGGGGGGGGGGGAGCCTTTCAAGGAACATTTTCAAAGTTTGGAAAAAAGTGGGATGGGGCCCTGCTCCCCTGATTCTTCGTGCCTGATAAATAACTTGCTTTCAGACTTGTCCACACTGACAGATAATTTTGTTCCACAGTACTTATAAATGTATTAAATTGTGTGATACACATACACCGCCGTAAAGGGGTGAAAGAATTAAGTGACATGTAACCTTGCTGAAAAGTGAACCCCTCATCCGATTTCAGTTTTTTATTTTTTTTTTTTTCCGAAATTCTTTTTAGGACCTTTCTGTCGCTTTCTCATTCGATCCAGTCTTTTTTAACTTCACTAGATCCTCGACAGATAAGAAATCACAACTCTGGCATATGTAGAATGATCTTAAGCAGAATATACGGGTAAAAAAAAAATTTTACGAGGTGAAATATGAGCCTTTGTTTTTATATGCATAATATTAACGGCAATGCCTACAATATAAACTTATGCAGATGCAATACGCTTATATTGTGCGTGAAATTATAAAATCTGAAAATATATTGAAACATCAACCGTGCACTTGTATAAATGACTGAAAATACAAGACTTCAGAATATTAATTAATCTGATCAATCCTAACCAACGGAATCCAAAAAGATTGGGAATTTATCCCCCCCCTTCCGAAAAAAAGATTGTTGCAAGGGGACCTATTGTGACGTCATCTTTGAGTTTATTGGGTGTAATTTATTTGCATACATTGTGTACATGTATGCAGACGTGACGTCAACTAGGCCGTTTACATGTAAGTAGCAAAATAAAATAAAGACTAGGATTTAAGCATTTTCTTTTCTGCAATAATACTTTTAGTGAATTTATTTGTCAGCTGAACATTTTTATTTTATTGCTTTAGATTTAGTATATTAAATTGATCTCTTCCCTTCTTGCTGGCAACATTTATCAAGTGTAAGGCTTATCTGTATAAAATAATTTGTCATTTCTATAAAACATTTTTTTTTTAAAATTTATGCTATTTCATGACAAATATATTTGTATAAGCAATATAAATATGGTCGATCAATGATAATTTTTTTTTAAACATTATTACACGAAATACACCATTATTATTACTCCTAGATAAGAATTCGCCTCTCGACTAACTCGTTATCCGCCACCGGAAATAGTCATGAAATGTCAAAATTAACGTACTGCACATTCCTCGAGCAAATTCTTACCATTATTTTTGCTTGTCTTTCATCAAATTATTTTCAAATATATATATGTTTTATTTTGCTCGAGGGGTGTGCACTACTTCAATTTTGGGAATTTGTTGTAAAAATAATGGAAAAAATAGCAATTTCCGGAAAGAACGGATGTTCAAATCCTGTGAATACCTCTAATCAACGTACTAACGAAATTTTGTTATGCATATATCAAAACTACCGATCTTCTTCTACATAAACATAGTAGTTATATTTTTGCAAACGTGTATATCAAAATACGAAAAATTGTGGGCCTTCGAATAATACGTAACGTACTTAGTTCTTTCAAAAAAGTTTACATCTAGGTTGGTCTAGGAATTATTACAAAGTTTATTTTTTTCAATGTCCAATAACTCTAAAATTGCCATATTGCAGAACATATATATCGGAACAGATGCATTATCAGCGCAGATGAATTATTCTGGTAAAAAATAACAATGTTTAGATTGCTAGTATGTTCCTTAATGTTCTGTCAACAGTTTTATGTAAAATGTCTATGGACATCTTGAACAGTTGAATATACAAGCGAGTCATGCGTCATTCTTCAGCGTCATGCATTGCTTACAAAATCGGAAAACAGTAACGTTGTTAAGAGTCATTTCAGTGTTTTTCCTAATTATTGTTGGAAAAGCACATTTTCAGACTCATAGGCGTTAAAGATAATGTTAATTTTGTATTTAAACCACAATATATGGGAAATGTGTAATGTTGCACATACGACTGCATGAAATTAAAGAGCTGCGCAAAGTCATGCGTACTCGATTTAGACTCGGCCTCGTTAAAACAAATTAAATCTTTATCGGATATTAAAGTAGTTGTTGAAATTGAATATTTGATGAGCAATCGTTTTTAAGAAATAAGCGAGTAGCGAGTATGGTTTTTCTAAATAAAAGCAAAATTCTTACCTGAATTGATATCTGTATCCCAGTTTGTTGTACATACCCATTTACAGATTCAAGTAAAATCAATGTACCTGGCAAAATATATTAATTTATATTATCTGTTTCTTGAAGTGATTTACGTAGTAAATAAAAATTTTAAAAAGAAAACTGTTTTGATACGGTTATTCTTTAATTTTAAATATTAAGTATTTTTTGACTTACCATTTGGGTTTCTCAGTTGAATGTCACTTGAATTTGTTGTTCCATTTATTTCAATATGCAGAGAATCTACTGAATCATCTACCTCTATTGTTAAATTATTAGTGTCATCTTGGTCGATAGTCCCCCATTTAATTACAGATGTAGATGATGGTAAATTATCCTGTTTGTTTGCAGATGATTAATTTTCATGCAGAGAAACCAAACATTTTATATGTACATTTATCACATGTTTACCCCTTTATCCCGTAGATATCACTCATTGGATATTTTTTTCATATCCCACTGGGACATCACAATGGGTTTTAAATGAAAGTGACTAAGTAAAATAATGTAGATTCAATACGAAAACAATGTAAAACAATGATAGTAATGAAAAAAAAATATGTGATAAAAAGAATCTTCCATGATTTGTGGTTGGATATGATTTTTATCCAACTCTTGTGTGTTTTTTCCCCCTCGCCAAGGCTCGGGGACAAAAAACACACAACTCGTTGGATAACAAGAGGCCCAAGGGCCTTAACGGTCACCTGAGTACAATACAACAATTTAGAGGATCCATAAATTGATAAATGACGCTTTGTTGCCCAAAAGCAAGAGAAATAGTATGATTTGCATCAAGAAAATAATTGATCTAGTATCTATCTGTCCCCCATTTATACTATTACCATGCAGACTATCAACAACTGTCTATTTTTAACCCCATATTATTACTTCTCACATTGGCCTCTATTGGCCTTTGAAGAACAATTAAAAAAGATAAGTTATTTTTGTCTCAATTTTATTCATCTATTATTTCCAAGTCTACCTGATCATCAAAACTATGAAAGTACTTTTTGTATTATACAATAAATATTTTTGCATGATTTTCTTATTCTATTAAGCATTCAAATACATTATTTACATTCATCCTTATCATAACCATGAACTTCCTTTGTTTGAAAAATAACCTGGAGCAGAGAAGAAAATTTTAAAAGAATTTATGCATTTTCCCTATATAATCAATAGAGCCCCGCCCTAAAACCAGAACCCCTGACCCAGGGGCCATGAAATTCACAATTTTGGAAATGGCAACCATGCTCATCATAACTATGCACTAAGTTAGTTTATTTAAAACCCAAGAGCAGAGAAGAAGATTTTCAAAGAATTAATGCGATTTTACTATATAATCAATAGAGCCCCGCCCTAACACCTGAACCCCTGACCCAGGGGCCATGAAATTAATAATTTCTGAAAAGGCAGCCACGTTCACCATAACTACTTCTAAAATAGTTTATTTAATACCTAGGAGCAGAGAAGATTTTCAATGAATTAATGTATTTTCACTGTATAATCAATAGAGCCACACCCTAACACCGGAACCCCTGACCCAGGGGCCATGAAATTCACAATTTTGGAAGAGACACTCTTGCTTATCATAACTATGAACTTAGTTTATTTAATACCCAGGAGCAGAGTAGAAGATTTTCAAAGAATTAATGCATTTTCACTGTATAATCAATAGAGCCCCACCTAAACACCGGAACCCCTGACCCTGGGGCCATGAAATTCACAATTTTGGAAGAGACACTCTTGCGCATCATAACTATTTACTTAGTTAATTTCTTTAATACCCCGAAGCAGAGAAGAAGATTTTCAAAGAATTAATGCATTTTCACTATATAATCAATAGAGCCCCACCCTAACACCGGAACACCTGACCCAGGGGCCTTGAAATTCACAATTTTGGAAGAGACACTCTTGCGCATCATAACTATGTACTTTGTTAGTTTATTTAATACCAAGGAGCAGAGAAGAAGAGTTTCAAAGAATTAATGCATTTTCACGCTATAATTAATACAGCCCCGCCCTAACACCTGAACCCCTGACCCTGGGGCCATGAAATTCACAATTTTGGAAGATACACTCTTGCTCATCATAACTATATACTTAGTTTGTTTAATACCCAGGAGCAGACAAGAAGATTTTCAAAGAATTAATGCATTTTCACTATATAATCAATAGAGCCCCGACCTAACACCATAACCCCTGACCCTGGGGCCATGAATTTCACAATTTTGGTAGAGGGCTCAATGCTTTTTTTTTTTGAAGAGGCACTCTTGCTCATCATAACTATGTACTCAGTTTATTTAATACCCAGGAGCAGAGAAGAAGATTTTCCAAAAAATAATGCACTTTCACTAAATGATCTATATAGCCCCACCCGAGCACCAGAACCCCTGACCCCTGGGGCCATGAATTTCACAATTTTGGTAGAGGGCTCAATGCTTATTACAATCATACCAACAGTTCGACTGCTTGATGTCCAGGAGTAAAGAAGAAGATTTTTAAAGATTGCATTAATTTTGGTGGTTTTAGCCCCAACCCCCAGGGGGCAGTGACCATGAAATTCACAATTTTTGTTCCCCTTCACCCATAGATGCTATATGTCAAATTTGGTTGAAATTGGTTGAGCGGTTTCAGAGAAGAAGCTAAAAGTTTTCATTTTTTTCGCACGACGACAGACAAAAACGGATAGTAATAGGTCACCTGAGTGACTCAGGTGACCTAAAAATCATATCGAACCACAAATCATTGGAGGTCCTATATCTAACACATGTTTAGTCCTTTATACAATAGATATAGTCGTTTTCATATCCACGATTGTGACATCAGAATGGGTTTTGCGTGGATGTGAGTAAGTCAAATTAGTGGATTAACATCTACAAAACAGTACAAAACGTGAAATAACTATTTGTCAAACATGTAATAAAAAGAATCTTCCCTAGTTTATGGTTTGGATATGATTTTTCATCCAACCCGTTGTGTCGTTGGATTAAAAAAAAACATTTCTGACCACAAACCATGGGAGATCCTATATATATATATATATATATATATATATATATATATATATATATATATATATATGTATGTATGTATGTATTGTATAAAAATAATATCTTCTATTAGTACAAATCAGTGTATTAACAATAAATTTTTTTTTTAATTTGACTACTAAAATATTTTCAAAAAAAAGGAGAGAAAAAAATCATACCATAGACCAACACGAACAAGTAAACTTTATAACCACTAATTATGATTAAGAAGGAACATATGAGGGGTATTTGAAAAGTTCTGAATATCGTTTGACAAATTGTGCGTTTAACGAAGTTGAATTATTTGGTTTTAGGGCTTGGTATCGGCTGAAAATTACGTATTGCAATATATTACAACATTTTTATCTGTATTGCGATATGTATTGCAATGTTTTCAATAACAGTTAAAATGTTTGTTTTTTTTCCCTAATTTATAAGCAGAATGCATGTAACTATTATAAATACTTTGTCACAAGAAAGTTCTTGCCGATTTCACTAGTTTTGCAACAAAATGCATCCATGCAACAACCTTACCGCTTTGCACGCTTGAAAACGTTTCCGACTTATTAAATTTTACTTCAGAAATCTAATACCCAAGCATTTTGCCAGTATATTGGTACTGAAAAAACGTACCGCAATACAATATTTTTTGCTAACGAATATGCCTGAATATCGATATTATTGCCCAGCCCTATTTGGTTTCATGGAAAACATGAAGAAAATGCATACTACTCATAGTTCTCTGCGTCTCCGCACATAGAGACACTACCATATACCGCATACCGAATTGGGATAATGTACGTCCGCGTACAACGCGGCCGAATTACAGAAAAGAATAAGTGCGTAGATATTACCCCAAGAACTTCATAAATGAGACCGAAGTTACAAATTACATATACAATATATATTTAAAAAACATGTAAAAAAAAAAAAATAACGAAAAACGAAAATTAATATTTTTTCAAATATAATATTTTCTACTTTCACTTCAATGAAAACATGGATTCAGACAGATTAACAAGTGCTAAAAAGAAGTTAGGAATAACATATGAATTAAAGTTAGAACAAACAACTACACTTTGTGCTTTCATAGAGTCAAAGGACCTCATGTGTTTACTTCCGACTGGCTTTGGAAAAAGTGTTATTTTTCAACTGATGCCATTTCTTTCCGATGATCCCATGGCAGTTGTCCTTGAGATATCGCCAATGAACGCGATTATGAAGGATCAAGTTATGAAACTATGCGAAAGGGAATTCCAGCCTGTTCTCTTGATATTACGGGAAGAGATGGTTCCACCTACAAGCTGAAACCTGCACTGGGGACAGGTATGCCAGTTTTTAATCTTTTTAAAATCCTCATTTATTTCTAATGCTTAATTCTTTCTAATGCTATCGGGACCAGGCAATATTTATTTATATTTGATTATGCCCGGTCCCTTATTGACCACAACACTCTTCATGTTCAGGATTAAAAACTACCACACATACAGAGACACAATAAGCATTAACCAGCTGTTAACATCTTTCATATAAATCTCCCCCCCCCCCCCCAACACACAAAGATACATGTATATTCTATTCTGTTGAAAGATTTGGTGAATGAAGGACATACCAAAACAGAAGCCAAGTAAATTATTTTCTTAATTACAAGTTTTTTTGTGTTATGGATACATTGTACTTTACAGATTGTCTTAGTGTAAATGGTCAGCACACCTCATGCTTCTGGCAGTTTCTAATTTGCTGACATTGAGGAAGTCCAGGTTCAAATCCTGGGGGCAGTCTGAATTGCAATTAACTGAAAGAATCATTTGTACTAAATCCAAATGACCAAGATATATACTAATTTTAACAGTTAGACCTGCGTGTGTAACCCATACATCCAGTTGTCTGATGAGTTAACTAGGGAATATCAAAAAAATATGTCAGAGCAACTGCACACAAGGTACAAAAATGTATAATGCAGCATGAAGATTTTTGGTATGCATAGTCTAAACTAATTATGTGATGAAAGAAATAAAAATTTTTCATATAATATGACCTCTCTAATATCTGTTGGTTGAAATGTAAGTTTTTTTTTCTAAATGAAAAAATATATATACCCTCTTCTTAATCAGGTGTAAAGTTAAATGCAAAACAAGGAATAGAATAATTTCTTTGAAACCGATATAAGTCAGAACATAATGAAACAGTTGAATAGCTTTCACAATTATATGCATGAGTGCAAGAACTTTGACAGAAATATTCTGGACAATTTCTTGGAACAGTCAAGATGGAAGGATTGAAATGTCATCATACGACAGAGGCT